AAATGCATTCCGCTGTCACGTACAACTAAGAAGAACAAATAAAAAAAATTTTTAAAAATAATAACTTGCTAGCCAGGTGCAGTGGCACACTCCTGTAAGCCCAGTGGCTTGGGAGGTTGAGACAGATGGATCATGAGTCCAAAACCAGCCTCAGCAACGGCAAGGTGCTAAGCAACTCAGTGAGCCCTAGCTATCTCTAATAATTAAACACAAAATTGGGCTGCGGATGTGGCTCAGTGGTTGATGCCCCTGAGTTCAATCTCCTGTACCCCTCTGCCCCCCCAAAACTTGGTATCTTTCAAACAAGAGAGATGCAAGATACGACAGGCACTGCTCACAGTAATCTGCTCTTCTTAACATTAACTCAGGTGTGAGGAAACACCTAGAGGTCCCAGTGCCAATTCCCAGGCCAGGGGAACTGATTAGTAGGTCACTGAAGGGCTTCACCCAATTGCATCTCATCTGCTGAGCTGGCCTGGGAGCAGCTTTACACTTTGCTCTGGCAATTGAGCTCTTTCCAATTCTCCAAAAGAAAATATAGATGATAGTTTGTTTTCAAACTCAAAAGAGTAAAAAGAAAAGTTATAAGAAAAAACATTTCGGGAGATGAGTTCCACTCAACAAGAGCTAATAGTCCTACCCAAAATTAAACCTTAAGAAAGTTATAATTTTCACCTTTAAACATTTTTTAAACAATTCTTAGAAATGTAGTATTGTGCAGAAATTGTCTTTTAGTTAACTATTATAAACATGAATAAAACCATTAAGAATGTAAAACAGCAACCAGAGGTTTTCAAAATGTGGTCCCCAGACCTTAAAACTGCTATAAAAAAAGTATAAGCCATTGAGAATGTAAGTGTGGCCCTCAGACCAGCAGCAGTGTCACCACGGAAATGCATCCAAAATGCAAATTCTCGGGCCCAGACCTTCTGAATCAGGAATGCTGTAGGTGGGCCCTGGAAATCTGTTTTAACAAGCCTCCGAGGGATTCAGACACATACTACAGTGTGTGAATCACTGTTTATAGATGGATTATGAAACTGTGTTCAGCAATGATTTCCATAAGAAATCTTAAAACTAGAGCAAGAAACTCTTCTAATTCTTTTATTTCCTGGTCAAGTAATATTAAGAGGTTTAAATAATAAGAGGAACAAAAGGCCCATCTATTTTTTGTATGGACAATACATGTTACATTTTCCTAAGCAAGACAGTTTTTCTTTTCTGAAACAAACTTGTTGTGTGACCCCCCCCCCCAAAAAAAAAAAAAGGTATCTAAATACTTACTGTAGGCATGACACACACAAGGGAAAACCCACCTTCCTCAGGATGTCAAGTCTTACACAGGGACAGGACCTCCTAAACCTTCAGCTGAAGCTATTCAGCACATGACCTTGGTCAGCTCTGTACCTTTTCAGACCTCATCTTACATGTGACCTGTCACTTTCTCAACCACCTTTGCAAGGATGAGAGATGTAGTAACTGAGAAAACTAAATACAGCTCACACAGCTGGCCAGAAATCAAGTTTATTGTGAGTACAGCTTCCTAATGGTATCCAAAGAATCCATGTGGACATGTATGTAAGGTGAGTGTACGGGGCAGGGGGGATATCTGAATTTTCTAAATTCAAGAGGTTTAGTTCACAGGTAGAGGTCAGATAATTAAATTAAATCTGAGGAAGAAACAATATTTCATCCCCTTTAGCTGCTAAGGAGAAATGGTGGCTGGAGATGGGAGAGGAGAATCAGAGGAAAAGAGGCCGAAACGAACACTAGCTGGTAGGTGTGGAGGTTCAGGTTGGGAAGGAGTCCAGCAGGTGTGCTTGGTCCTTCATTCCTTGATGAATCCAATGAACCTTGCACCTTCCGGACACTGGATAGACAGCACAGATATGGCAAACTTCTTCCCTTGTTTTTTTCTGAAGTATGCACCTCTCTCCTCAAAAAGCACAGACTTCTTAGTGCTCAGAGATGGCTATATTTTTGTTCTTCAGAGGAGAAAAATCGTAGCCACTTTAAAATGTTAAATGTCTTCAATCAAGAGTCTAGCTCCTGTATATTTGCAATCTCTCAGGAAGCATTTGCAAATGATACACATCCTGAAGATGGGCTCCACCAAATTATGCTTTTCAGGGGTCAAGAAACACCCTTGAAAGGAAGTCCCTGGCCAAAGATTACAAGGAAGAAACAGGAAATGATATGTAGATATGTGCCTATGAGTTCTACAGGAAGTCTGAGCCCCTTAGACACCCTGTTGTCCCCATATACTTTGACAGGCAATTATGTTACATGATGAACCAGGCTGCAAAATATAGGCTACCCCTGAGAAGAGCTGAAATGACAGGAAAATAAAATAAAAGAGAGAGAGAGAGAGAGAAGGGGGGGGGGAGGAGGGAGGAGGGAGGAGGAGGGGAAGCAAAAGGAGGTAGTAGAAGACAGAAAATGAACAAGAGGGGATTTGTCCACTTGTCCAACAGGAAAGATCTTACGCAGTTGCAGATGACAGCCGAGAACAGTCCTAGTTATACACAAGAAATGCAGCAAAACTGGCCTATTCTGTCAGCAGTAAGGAAGCAACACGCCTTAGAGCCCCTGCAGCATCCCCTTGGCACGAGGCATGCATGCTAACAGCCGAAAGCAGGACGTGTTACAGCACGAATCATGAGGACAGGCTGACCTGCAGAACACAGGGAGCTGCAGGCCAGGAAAGAGCTGCCCCATAGGCAGAGCTGATACAAGTCCCAGCAGAGCCTCGGCCCGTTCACAATCAGTGTGTGCTACCTCAGTTTCCTAAGGCAGAGGTAAAAAATCTGGGAAGGTGTCCATAAAAAGAGTTCAAACAAAATGTGAACAATCTGTACTTCCATTATTTAGATAAAGTTTGCTTGTTCTCTAAAAAATGTGAGATGGACAAGGCAGTGGGGTATATTCAAGTTCTGAGAAGGAACCTGGATAATACATGTCCCTCCTTATCAAAAAGGAATTTGTCCTGCAGTCGGATGGTGATGACTACCTGTATGCATTCCACAGAACAGCAACAGTCTCTCTGAGGCCCAGCAACCCTGGAGGACACTTTTCTCACCCACCCTCTTTCTCAAGACTTCCCTACGCACAAAGAACAAGGAAGGGGACCAGTGCTTCCGCACTGTGAGCTTTCTTTTGCTCCCCTCCCTTCCAAGAAGCCTCTTCAGACTCAGCTCAGGGATTTATGTTCTGACTCTGAGAAGCACTCTGGATGCAGCCCTTTACATTGGAATAGATTTTTGAGAATTTTCTTCTCTAAGTTTTTGCTCCACAGTTAGAAACACTGCTGTCCTTAATTTCCTGAAGGCCTTGAACACGATCTTAAGGGAGCCAGGCACAGAGCTTGCGTCGCGTGAGGACAATTTCACGTGATGTCTTGCCAGAAATGATAAAACATGGCAGCTTGATAAGCAAATCTCAGAGTTCAGATTTCAGAAGTAGTTCGACTTTCAGCCTGCCTGTCCAAGCACTTCTAAGGCCACAGCTGACCCTGCAGAGATGCTGACACCATAAACGGGTCTGATTTCCACCACCAGGATGCCCCTTCTGCTTCAAAGGACAGATCACAGTTGCTCCTCTCTCTGAAGGACTGTGAACTGTTCTCAGATCAGTCCCAGGAGTTGTGGATGTGCACACACTATGGTATTAACCTATTCAGAGGATAATCATAGCTGAGTACACACGTCCACACACACACACACACACGCCTTATGGCTTACATTTAAAAGAGGAAACCGAAGTCTGCTAGAACCAGTAAAACTCGAATACGCTGGACACTATGCTCAAAACTCTTGTTTGGTGAGTCTTATTATATAGAAGGTATATTTAGAAAGATGTCTACAAAAGCAGTTAAGTCTTTCCATAAGTGCACACAAGTAGTCTCCCTTGTATGGTGAAAATGGTCTGGTCCTTCCAGGCAGGCCCACCCCAAACAAAAACCCCCAATCGGCTGCCTGTTGGAAGTGGATCCGCTGCCACTAGGCAGGTGGCTTCATCCATTAGGTTCCCTTCACACCCACAAAACTCATCTCAGTCAAGCACTGCAGTTTTCTTTTTGATTCAGCTTGTAAGTGCCTTAAAACCTTTTCAGAGATGAGCTCGGTGCCACTGCCTGCAGCAGAGATGACCTTGGGATTATATGCTTTACAAAGAAAAACTAATCGACCAACTAAAGGCTTCTCCAGAAACCAGGTGCCTGTCACGCAGAGAACCCTCTGAGTGCTTTGGACCCAGACAGCTCCAAACTAAGTCAATCACCAGGCCCTTTTTCATGAGCAGAATGGAAAACTGGTAGAGAAAAGCATGTCTGAGTCTCTAAAATAGAAAAAGGGGAACCCAGTAAAGGGGAAAAACAACTTTCATGAACTAAAACCCACTTTACTGACCCTCCCATCTCCAAGAGAGCAAGTGGTTACCCGGGACAGATAGTACAGCGAACACAGGTTTAGAAAAACTGTGAGTAGCGAACCTTATACCAAATCATATCCATTCTGCTTAATATGAAGCCTCAAACACCCTTTTCTATTTCAGGGACATTCACATGCTTTGAAAAGGGAATGGCTCACAGGAGTTTTACTGTGCAACCTACATAGAGCAGTCCTCCTCTGGTGGGGGCATTTTCCAAAACCTATGGATTCTTGAAATCTCGGGTGGTACTGAGGCCTGCTACGCCTGTTTTTTCCTATATGAGATAAAGTTTAACTTGTATATAACAGAGCTGAGATAAAGTTTAACTTGTATGTTAAGCATGGTAAGAGATTACTAACCAACAGTAATACTGATCAATTATAACAGTGCGCTATAATAAAAGTTAACTTAAGACTTATGAATAGTTTATTTCCAGAATTTTTTGGGAAGCATTTTCTGACCTCCGTGGACAGTGGGTAACTGAAACCGGGGATAAGGGTGACTACGGTACCTTTACTGTTTTCTCCTGGAGCTGCCCAGGCCGGGCAGAGCCTGCAGCGGAGGGCACTTACCGAGGACTCGCTGTCTCTAATGAGGAAGTCGCCCTCCACGCCCCGCTCGTTGAGGGCGCACTCAGCCTGGTGCCGCGTCACGTTGCCGTAGTACCATTCCCGGCCTGCGAAGCGCCCGCTGGACGAGGGCCCAGTGTAGCTGATCTGCGGGGCGTGCGAAGGGTGCAGGGCTGGCCCGTCATTGAGGACCACCACGTAGTTTTTGGGGACCAGGCCGACCTGACCCCGGGCGTTTTTGCATTTCCACCACTCTGGGTCGTTCTCGGGCTTCTCGATCACCTCCATGGTCTCTCCTTTATCAAAGTTGAGCTCCTCCTCGGTGACGGAGCTGAAGGGGTACAGCGTCTGCACCACGTGCAGCACCCGGGCACCCTGGCCGTTGCTCAGGGAGGCGCCCTTCCGAAGGCTCAGGAAGCTCGGGGACTCGGCGGCAGCCTCGTCTGCCTCCTCCAGCACATAGTTGGAGGGGAACCAGCCAATCTGCCCGTTGAAGCTGCCCCGCCACCAGCCGTCACTGCATTTCTCCATGACGGTGACGCGCGAGCCCTTTACCAGGGACAGCTCGTCCTCCCTCTCGGCCACGTAGGCGAACTTGACAAAGGCAGGGATGTTGAGGTCATAGATGCGGTCAGCGCCACTGCCATTGGAGGGGTATTCGGCGTCCGTGCTGGGCGTCGGCGATGCATCCCTGGCGCTCGGCTTCCTGCGGGTCTTGCCGAGGCCTGTGGAGACACAGCAAGGGCTCAGTGGGCACCAACTCCTACTCTACAGCCTCCGGTGCACCGCCCTGTGTCGGTACATCAGGAGGCAGCATATGGACTGCTGCAAATGACAAAGACCATCTGAAAAATAAAATGCTGACAGCTGCATGGTGAAGATGAGACTTAACTAGAACTGACCTACCCTTTACGCATTAAAAAATGCGGGAGTACCTCTAACAAAAGATAACAATAAACACCCTGGAAAGCTTCGTTTAACTCTGAAAGGACTATTCAGTTTTATAGAAACCCTGGACTTGTCAGAGGGAAAAATAAGGTATAAATGTAGGCGCATTTCGATGAAATATCTTCTGCATTCTTGCCAGGCAGGAAGTGGACTGAATGATCTAAATTTAAAGACCCATTCCAACTCTACCTGGGTCAAGTCTCAGTCAGCAGAACTTGCAGTCTCTAGCCTGCATCCCCTCCTCTCCACTCCTGGGCCAATCTGTCTTCCCAGGCTGCCTGGTGGCATGCTGGCCCTTCTGAGCAGACACCCAGAGACTTCTTTTATTCCCCTTCTGTACTTTGTCTTCTCTCAAAACAGTGGCCTAGTTTCCCAGTGTTGAGTTGAATTAGAAAAAATTAGCTGATGTGTTAAATTGGAAGCAGAATTTTTCATACTGTGGTTCAAAGCCCACAGGTGGGTCACTAAATTGACTGAATGGGTTGCAACCAGCTTGCAGGTATATACTGGGTTTAAGGGAATAAAACAGAAAATCTCCAAGTGCATCAAAAATAGGACAAGGTTGGTTTCCTTAGCCACATGTGTGAATCAGTGTCAACTTGCAATGAGAAACATATTCCTTTCTGTGAGGAAAAAAGTGTGAAAAGCCCGAAGGAAAAAATGTTTTAAACTAATCAAAATGCACAGAATTCCAGAACATTCTAGGGGAAGAAAGCATAGTGGTCCCTGGAGCTGGGGACAAACCATAAACCCAGGGAGGGCTGGCCTTGTGTCTCAGCTTTTCCTGAGATATGGCTGCAGGCTCACCAGTCCTGTTCAACCCTTAGTCAAGGTATAGGTTTTGATGGTATGGAAACTACAGGCATTTAAGGTTACCTTTTTCCCTCCAAAATGTTACCAAAGGATTTTAATGGGTAGCTTATCTCCCTCTCCTCTTATTCCTTAGCCTGAAGTAAAGACAGGCTGTTCTTAAGGGCTAATTTTCCTTCCACCACATTGCTGGGGCAGGAGGTCAAAAAAGTTAAAAGTTGTCTAGTGAGCATCCTCAGCTGTGCAGACTGGGGCTGCTGCCCCAATAGCAGGCAGCCCAGGCCTGAGATCCTGCAGCCGTGGACACAAGCCCAGCTCAGAGCCCGGAGGCATGTGGGAAGACATGGTCACTCACATGGGATTTAAAGTAAATACACCAATTCATTTGAACTAATGGGTGTTTGCTGCTTCACAGACAGTAAAGGGTGAGCAACTCTAATGCAACAATCTGAAACCCAAAGTGCTCCAAATTCTGAAGCTTAGCATCAATAACATGCCACAAGCAGAAAATTCCTCACCTGACCTCATGTGATGGGTCAGTAAAAATGCACACACTAAAAAATATCGTATAAAATGTTCTCCAGGTCATGGTATAAGTTGTACATAAAGTACAAATAAATTGTGTGTTTAGTCCTATCTGCAAGATATCTCATTATGTAGATACAAATATTCCAAAATCCAAAATAAATCCTAAATCCAAAACATTTTTGGTCCCAAGAATTTCAGATATGGAATACTTAAATTTCTGCCCAGAAGACAGCACTGCCAGAAGCTCATCAAACAGGAAATAAAGACCCTCACCAAAGAGCAGGCTGAAAGAGCATGACCAAGCAGAGCAGCATATAACTTTTATAGATATCAAAAATGTCAAGAAATAACATTTAGAGCCAGAAACAGTGGGCCATCCCTGTAATCCCAGCTACTTGGAGGGGCTGAGGCAGAAGAGTCACAAGTTTGAGTCTAGCCACAGCAACTTAGCAAGACCCTATCTCAGAATAAAATAAAAAGGGAGGAGGGTGTAGCTCAGTGGTAAAGCACCCCTGGGTTCAATCCCCCAAGCACTGCAAAGAAAAAAATAAATAGGAATATTATTTTAATAAACTTTGTCAAATGTGTGACTCATAAAAATGACTGGAGAAAGTCTTGAGAGAACAAGTTTCAGAGTACACATCAGGACAGAATGATAGAGGAGCCCGGATAAGGAGAAAAAAACAATACAGACACTGGCCAGTGCAGTACGTCTTTGAAGATACTTCAAAATTGACTTGTTGATTATGCTACTTCACTGCTTTGTTTCAAACCAAAATAATTTAATTTGGCCATGTGTGACTCTGAATGAAGACAGTCATACTTCCTGCCCTCCTAGAGCTCATGAAGACTACAACACTCTACATATCAAACATGTGAAGCAAAAACCTGTCTGGCTCCAATGTGACCTTACAGTCTTTGAGCCCCTTTTAAGGTAACTGGAATGACTGCCAGCGCAGCCCTGGAAAGAATCCTGAGGCCAACACGTAGCAGTTGTGTGCTCTTGATCAGATTACTTATTAAACCTCTGCCTTTGTTTCCTTAACTCTAAAAAGGGGACAGCAATGGTCCTGCTGTCTTAGTCTGCTTGGGCCGCCATAACAAAGTGCCACACTCTGGGCAGCTCACTGTTCTGGAAGCTAAACATCCAAGATCAAGGTGCTGGAAGGATTGGTTTCTTCTCTCCTTGGATGGTAGAGTGCATCCTCACAGGGTCGTCCCTATGCATGTGACTGAGTCCTCATCTTTTCTTATAGACCAGTCACAATGGATTAGAGCCTACCTTAATGATCTTGACTCAATTACCCCTTTTAAAGTCCCTGTCTCTACAGCCACATTCCAAAGTACTGGGGATTAGGATTTCAACACGTGAATCTCGGGGAGGGGGTATACAATTCAGCCCATCACAGGTATCTAAGTTCTAAGGATGTACATGAAACACACGAACTATTCTATTAAAATAATATTATTATCTGTACTAACAAGTTGGAACTTTGAATCTCTTTTTTTTCTCAGAACAATATTGCACCAAAAGACAGCCCAAGTTCTCTTTACAGACTCTGGGCCATGATCGCATTGGTGCCAGATGGCCACCAAGATAGAAGGCATTCCTGCCAGGCGTTTGGCACATGGAATCGGACATTCTCTCATGGCAGGATGCCATATGTAACTACTGGTGCAGTGAAATTCAAGAGGCAGCAGCTGTCTGGGGATAGAAATTGACATTATCTGAGCCCTCACGACAGTCCTGGGATGAGGTCATTTTCTGTAGATGAGAAAATTGAGGCTGAAAGAGGTCAGGGAACCAGCTGAATGCACCAGCCAATAAAGAGATACAGACCCGTGTACCCAATAATGAGCCTATTTAATCCATAACAGTCAAGATGCACAGCTCTGTCGGAGCTGGTGTATAGCATGTTTTCTATAGAAAATGCTCCCAAGACTGTGAATTGGAGTGTCAAGGTCCTGTCCCCCTCCCTAACCACTTGCCTGCCCAAGCAGAGATGTTTCCTCTGATTCTGGGAAACAAAAGAGTCCCTGTGTCCCCAGGTGGGAGTGAGCTGAGATGCAGTATTTGGAATAAGAGATGTGTGTGCGAGTCACAGGTGGGAGCCCTGGAGTAGCAGGGAGGCCTCCTGGGAGGGGCTGGAGGGGTGGGTGCTGGGTGGGCAGTGTGTGAGTGGGGCAAAGTCTTGGGCTACTGAGAAAAGGAATCCCTTTTCTCTTGCAGTCTTCTCCTTACCCTAATCCTGCCCAATGGCCAGAGCCAGGGTCATCTGGAACAGAAGGGACCAGACCCTTCATGCTGGCTGAGGATGCTGGAGGAACACAACAAAGCAGCTTCCTGGGGGAGGAAGTGGCAGAGGTGGTTGAGCAATGTCCCAGGGACACGAGGAGAAAGGCAAATACTCCAATAGTGAGGGTGGCCTTCCTTTCTGTATGATGATAACTGTGTAAACTGCAAGGTGAGCGGCAGGCCAGCCTGCAAGCGCATGACCTATGTGGGACCAGGCTACGGGGGCTCGGTGACTCCCTGTCACTCTTCTTCATCTGGAGCTGGAACTTAGCCTGCCTGTGTGTCTTATAGACGGGGACAGTGCTGCTGAGCATGTGAACATGGGGGAGTAAAATTCAGCCCAGCACTAGACCTGAGTCCCTGGACTGCACCCAGGGGCCTAGGCGCCAGTGAATGGCTCTAATTTGAAGGCAAACCTGTGACCTTGAAGGTAAAGAGGGAGCATGGGAATTCCACTGTTTCTTCACTTTCTCTCTTGTGTTTTTCCTGAGCATCTGCTTCACCTCTGTTCTTTCACTGAAATCCTATCATTTACTTCTTCTAGTTGTAATGGAAGCACAATTTGAACTCCAATGTGGTTTTCATTTTAACAAGGTACCATGACATTTTTCCTCCCTCAATTTGATGTATGTGCTCAACAAGAGAGGCAAGCCCTCACACCCAATCCTCACTCAGTCCACGCTTACCGACCAGAACACACCAAAAGTAACCCCAATGTGGCCCCACGAGAGCTTCCAACCAGCCTTTATGTACACTTCATGTGAGGAGAACAAGTGCATCCCAGGGCTGTCTGTAGCAAACTGCCTACTTTGGGCCCAATGATGAGTTCCTGATGCAGCCTTGGCCCAGGATGGATGGACCACAAACATGTGCTTCAGGCAGAACCACTGTCTCCACTGTCTCTGTACGTGAGCCCTCGCCCAAGAGAACACCCAGATAGCCCAATGCCTGCCATCTGTGTACTTACCCAGGCGTGGGGTACACTAATGTTCTAGCCAGACATTAGGTGAGAATTAAAAGGATATGTTCTTCTTTCAAGTCTCACTTTAGCCAGAAAATCCCACTGTACAGAATTCACCAGTATGTGAGCATTTGGTTGGGGGTGTCCCTGCAACATGCTTTAGTAAATTGTATTATGGATGA